TATCAGCCAAGGCACCTAATTTTACCACAAAACTGCCTTAAAAATGTGCTGAAAAACTCAGCTTATACACAAGTCTATACAGTACTTGCATTATCTACTATGGTGACCATGTCTACTATGATAACTACGTATGCCTATTAAAATTCATTACAATTGTACAAAATGTAAAATACAGTTAAGTTAGTACATTTCAAGCGATCAACGGCCACATGTGTCAGAGAGCAAAAGTACAACTCCATCACAGACAGTATTATTGGACAGTGCTAATCCATATGTTTTGCTATATTTTAAGGAAGGAAAAACAAAGAAATGACTCCCACCTTCTGTATGAGAGCAAACACCCTGCTGTGCCAGTTTTGTGTTAGCACAACTTTCTGTCTGATGACTCAATATCCTGCCAGTGTCCCTCTGGTTGACAACCAGTCACACTTGCTGCTACCTACAGCTTTCATAGCTCTATCATGGAGCTTCGGATGCCAAACGAATTAAAGAAAAGGAACGGAATGAGAGCCGTGCATAAGCCACAGCTCCTTCTGAGTGCAGTGCAGAAGGATGTCTGCTTGCAGCATGAGCAGCACTGGCAACCAGCCATATGACATACTGAGTTGTCAAACCAAAGGCCACTGATGTTGCAACTCGCAGTGTAAATGGCTTCAGTCTGACCTTTAGCTCCAGTCTCAGCAGATAGGAAGATTTGTCATTATGGAATGTTTATATGCACAAGAGACAGAGAGATAGGGGGAAGAAGGGGAAGAGAAAGAGATCACTAAAAGGAAGCTAATTATTTTTAAAATGGCAGTTTCTGTTCTGGGGCTGACAGGGGGGTTGGAAGTTACCAGGGAGCTTTGTTAAACATCTTCACAAAGAAGCGAGACTCTCAGGGGAAGACTTATTGGATACAGGCTGTTTGACTACACTTTCTCAACATCGTTTCCATGATACTCACATTAAAACAAACACTGTACTGAATAAGGAGGTGATTAAGTCACAATAATTACACAAGAAGGGACTAACCATCCCACTCAAATCATAGATGGGTATTTCCAAATAGGATTATTTTATTAAAAAATTATAATTGGTCCATGAAAGGCATTATGAAAGTTGGAGATCATACCATTTTAGTTTGAGACTGGATTTTAAAATGTGAGTCCTACAGCACACATTGCAACACGAAAGGGGGAAAGCGTTAAGAGTGCTCAGTCTAGGATGTAAAAACTGGCCAGACATAAGATACAAAATGATTGTAAGATTCACCTCTGGCTCCTGACTTCTTGGTATTAAATTAACCACTTACTCTAAAGATGCCAATCCAATCCTTTCTCTGAGGGATGAAATGCTGCGTGAGGGTGTAATAGCAGGTGAGGTCCCCTCCGGGAACGTAGAACTTCTCCACGCTGTTAAAGATGACCTGCGCAAAGTGACAATGATCCAGCAAGACAGCTGACGTGGGGGGGTCTTCTACTGTCTCTTCCATAGCGAGGGTCCTGTCATACAACACAAGAGAGAATCAGGCACTGGAAAGACTGAAATACTGGAGACTTCTGGGCACTCACCCAGGAACATTCCGATCAAAACAAGTCAGGAAAGGCCAAAGGCTGAGAGCCCACAACTTGCTTTCTGTTTCACTCTGAGCTATTGTGCTGCTCGTAACTTGCTCTGCTCTAACAGTGTTGAGTTAGTCCCTAGTTTCTTCACCATGGACATTCCTCTATCACCATCCTAACAGTGAAAATGAGGAAGGCCCTCCACAAGATGGATGGACACAGTGCCTTCATCAATGGGCTCGGGCACAGCAGCAGTTGTGAGGATGGTGCAGGACCGGACAGTGTTATGTTGTGTTGTGCACAGAGTCGCTATGGGTCAGAGCTGATTCAACAACACTAACACCCCCACACCGTTGTCTCTACTCATCGCTACTTTGTTTCTCTTTCTCTAAATGTATTAAATAAGTAAGGCAGTTTGCAGAACAATGGCCTGAACAGGGAATCTGAATCTAGATTTTTAATCCCAGTAAGCCCTGTGACTTTAAATCGATCTCTCTGAATTCCATCTTCTCCATTCAATTCCACTTCTAATTCCTATAATTATCAGCCTTCCCAACATGGGGTACTCTACTGGGAGTGGGAAGATCGGGAGAACAGAAACTGGCATGCGGTGGTGACAAACATGGGTTTAAAAAGCAAAATGGCAGAATTCAAATCCCAACTGAAGCTACGGTGTGACATTGGGCAGTTTACTTCACCAACCTGGCTCTGTATGTTTTCTTGTCTGTAAAATGGAATTAGTAACAACACCTACCTCATTTGTGTGTATCTGTGGGGTTTTGTTTGTTTGTTTTTTAAGGGGCGAGGATTAATGGAAAGAAATACTATTTAGCGTCTAGCCCATAAACCAGTATGTAGTACTTATACAAAGTAGAAGGGTGTTGAATGATAAAATATTTAGCAGTCTGGCACAGGGAAAGGGTTTAATAGATGTTAGTGATTCCTGTTGTGGGGTTTCACCCCTCAATTTTTTTCTGACATAGTCCTTGTCCTCAAAGAATTCCTAATTCAATACAGAGGCTGGATGAGCATATACAAGTGACTACTACACAGATGGACTAGGAAGAGAAAAAATACTCTGTTCAAGAGGGAGAGATGGCAACTGGTTAGGGGAATGAAGGAAATCTTGCAGGAAACTCAGATGACCCCCCAGAAGGGTTTGGAGTCTGACAAGTGGGCATGGGAGCAATCTGTACAAATGAATAGCACTCAAGAGGAACAAAAAGCTCATACACACCCCCATTTGAAGGGCAACACGCAGGCTTGGATTTTTGTGATTTAAAACAGTGATAATATCTTGTGTTTCCAGATAGGAACTGGAAATACAGGGAATGCAGGACAGATGAACCCCTCAGGACCAGTGGTGAGAGTGGCGATATCAGGAGGGTAGAGGGAAGGTGAGGGATAAAGGGGGAACAGATGACAAGGTCTACATATAACCTCCTCCCTGGGGGACGGACAGCAGAGAAGTGGGTGAGGAAGACGTCGGATGGTGTAAGATATGATAAAATAATAATAATTTATAAATTATCACGAGCTCAGGGGGAGAGGAGAGCGGGGAGGGAGGGGAAAAATGAGCTGATGCCAAGGGCTCAAGTAGAAAGCAGGTGTTTTGAGAATGATGATAGCAGCATATGCTGGACACAAATGATATATGTATGGAGTCCCTGATAAAATGATTTTAAAAAGAAAAATGTAAAAAAACCCAAAACCTTGTGTTTCACATTTCAAGATTACAACAGAGATGTGACCAAGGAAACTATTTTGGAAGTGAAAACAATACCTAAACAAAACCAAGTCTTTTCAATTGTTGAAATCTACTATTTTCTGCCCTTCAAATGCATCACATGCATTATTTCCTGAACGCCTTGCTAGTCTAACACAATGAATATCAAAGTAGGGTTTTATAGGGGGAAAAACTTAAATATTGCAGCTCTGAACAGCAAATGAGGAAACAGCTGTACAAATGCAAATACGACTGCAACAAATCAGGCTGTTACAACCAGGAAGATTGCAAACACACACACTTTAAAAAATAAAGTCAGTAACTTATGGTTAGCTCTTCTTGACCTGTCTCACCTATTTCCTGGTTTTATTTTGAATTACAAGCAACCAGACCTCTACCCCAGAAGTTAGTCTTGTGAAAGAGAAAGACAAGTAACTTTGAGACACTGCACTATTCTTGGGATTGAGATCAAGAACTAAGAAAGGCCGAGGCTTTCTCTTTTGTGATACAGCATAAGCCACATCCTAAACCTCAACCCCCAGCTTTTCTCAGTGTGTCAGGAAGTCACGGTCAGTCCAGACTCAGGCCTTGTTTCTGTGACAAGCCATTGCCAGTGCAATAATGTCTCTTGACTATGTTTACAGGAGGAAAAGCAGGGAGGTTGCTCAGCTTGTTACCTGAACTGCAGGTGTTTTATCCCTGAAGCTGAGCGGCCAATTGACCCACTCTTAGTAGGAGGAAGAAAGAGAAGTTTTTGTTTAGAAGGCATACCAGCGGGAGACCACAGCAGTGCAAACAAAAGGTTTTGTGATGTCCTGTTTGAAATCAGAAAACATAGAGATTATGTACCGTTTGCCTTTGAATTTATGCTTTGGGAAGTCACATACAGATGTTTTAAGTTACCTCCGGCTTCAGGGTAACCACGGAGAAACAACTGTTGACCATGAGCAAGCAAACACAACAATGAGGTTTGTTAAGTCTTAGGCCAGTCCCAGGATGTCTTTGTTGACTGACTGGATAGAAGGGTCCAGTTTTAATCACTAACAGGTAAACAAGAGAAGAGTCTCAGCACAAGCTGGCCTTTTTAGGTGACATTCACACCCAACCTGTCTGCTTTTAAGCAATGTCACCCATCACACAAATTCCATAGAGACTGCATCCAGTAAAGTACCTTCAGCTAACTGCATTTCATAAGGATTTTTCTAACTACGTTCACTAAAATAACTGGGCTGCAAGCTTACAAATCCTATTTCGACTAGTGCTCTCTTTTCCTGTTGAGACCATCATGCCCCTGGTCTCATGTCTAGAACTACAATTTATCTTAGCATGGAATAAGATTGTATTCTTTCTACTACGGATCAAGAACAACAAAGAACAGTCTGTTAAGAGTGACTTCAGGGCCTGCGCACCCTGATTAATCCAAGTTCACACTTCCTGTTCTTTTCCTTCATCTACCAGTTGCCATCAATTGATTCCAACTCATGGTACCCTTGTGTGGGGCAGAGCACAACTGTGCACCACGGGTCTTCCGGGGCTGATTTCTCAGAAGTAGATCAACAAGCCTTTCTTCCTCCCGGGAGACTCAGTCTCCAAGACTGAGGAAGTGGGTAAGGAGGTGAGCGGAGTGGAAAACCACAGTGGCTTCCCTTCTCGCCTTGCCAAAACGAGGGCAGAAAGGGCCAAGAGTGAACCTAGAGTGGAAACATGCCCACCTGAGCCTAGGCAGTGAGGAAGTCCTCCACTCAGCCTTTCCTGAAAGACATGCGCTGATTTTTATGGTCAAGTCATTCTTCAGGCCCAACAGTGCTTGAAAAATAACCTTTCTGACAAAGCAACCTAGATGAAGTCAGTTTATCTATCTGGGGAGGAGGGTGGCCCGGGGTGTAACAGTGTAGAAGGAAAACTTCAATGACTTTAAGATCCGTTTCCTCCTCTTTTATCCATCCTTTCCACTACAGAAAGGATCCGTCGCCCACTTCTAGTTCTGGAAATAACCAGACAGTCCAGGAAATGAGAAGAACATAAAGATGCACAAAGGTTTAATTTTTAAGTCCAGAGAACGACTAATTCATGAAAAAGCAGTAGAGTACGTTAGGCCTCCTAGAAATTACGAAATGTCATTCCACCTAATTCTTTACGCCTCTACCAAATCAAACATTGGCCACAGAAGTGATCTTAGAAAATGAATTTTTAAAAACAGAATCACCCATCAAGCATCGGGAAGGAATGCAGATCCCACACGTTGTCGGTGGCGCTTTACCTCGTCTCTGGACATAGTTGTTTTCCTTTTCAGCTAGATTTCCAAAAGGGGTAGAGCTCTCAGAGGAAGTAGCAATAACAGGTAATGTATTTTAAAGTGAATCGCCTCTACTGGCACGTGGCTTCTAAGAAAGCCTGACATATTTTCACCTAATGAGCTTTTCCAGCCTAATATGCTAACCCCATGACAGTTCTATGGCAGCATAGCTCATCGACGTCCTCTTTTAACAAAAGGAACAACTAGTGCCAGCTCCCACGCTCGCTGAGGTAATCCCCAGACTACACGGACATGCTTTATAGCAGAAAATAAAAAGGTTCTAAAGCTTCCAGCTTCCAATTCTAACAATGCAATCATTCAACCAAACCAACTCAACAGTTTGTCTAAAGGTACACACTCATGGATGCCGACAACACCAAGAAACAATTCTTAAAAAGAACTCAACTTCTACCGGGTGGGTAGCTTCTCTGGGTAATCGCCAAGGGAAACAAATGATTCCACAACTAAGGAGAAATGCACTCAATTCTTCATTTAGGAACAGTGAAAACAAAAGTAAAAGTCAAACACACATTCAAGTGAATCACCTCATCCAATTTATTTGACTTCTTAAAACAATTAGCAAAATGGCTGGACTGGTTTGAATCCCAAGCCTCCTCGGAGAACATTAGAGACTTTTAATATTATTGATAACCATTTGGATTAAGCTGCCCAACTTCTCCTAAGCAGGCCCTTCTCATACTACACCACCGGTGCTAGTTGCTTAGGGGTAAACAGAAAACCGGTTCCCAGACAGGAGATTCTGACGTGAAGGGGCCGCTGTGAAAAGCTCCACACTGTGTGGTCTATCTGCCTTTTACTGAGACCACCCACTTTTTTCTTGGAAGCAATCGTGTCTGAAGTACAGTGGAAGGTCATCTGAGATAGGAGCCAAGAGACCTGGGTACCTGTCTTTAGTTCTGCCACTGACTTCCCCTTGGTCAAGGCACACTGCCTGATTTGAGGCCTCGATTTCCGAGTTGGTAAAATGCTTGGGTGGGGTGGATGATCTCTAAGGGCCTTTCCGGCTGTACTGATCCTAAGTGAAAGTACTAATTTTAGTGGTCTACCTTTCCATCTAAGAAAATAAGGGCGTATATGATACCAACAAAGTGCTGTCACGTTTTTCAAAAGAGCCCTAGATGTTTTATCTGACCCTGAAGACAGCTTCTCTGGGTTAATCGCAGAAGGAAACAAATGATTCCACAGCCAAGGAGAAATGCACTCAATTCTTCATTTAGGAACAGTGAAAACAAAAGTAAAAGTCACACATTCAAATGAATCACCTCATCCTGTTTGTTCCAGGTAACTCGGGATTACCGACTACCTTTATCAGGGTCCTTTCTACTCCATTAGCTGTCAGTGAGGCTAAAAGTCGTTTCAAGTCCCCTATGGAAAATACCTGGAAAGCATGCCATCTGGATATTCCTTAAACGACTGCCCTCCAGAAGCTACAAAAACCCTTCTTCATGACACAGTTTTAGCAATCAAACCAAACACTGAACCCGCTGCCTGCCGTCCAGTGGATTCGAACTCACAGCGGCCCTAACTCTACATCAGCTCTACATCAGCAGATGGGCTCGTTTCTTCCTCCCAGGGAGCCGCTCCTAGGTTTGAACTACCGATCTCGTCTGAGCAGGCCAACACTTAACCCGCAGCGCCACCTGAGCTCTCAGGGCTGAAAGGGAACGTGGGCTGCATTGGGCTCGTGGTGGCGCTGGGGATCAGGCGATGGGCGCGCAAACCTACACCTCCTTTCTCCTGGGCTGCCTGGAACCCGGCGGGAGGGGCCTCCAAGGAGGACACGGGGAAACTGAGACCCGCAGGGGACGCTGACGTCGGATGGGCTGGCGCCTTCGAAGCAGCCCCCACCTCAAGCTTCCGACGGCCCAGGGGCGCCCCCCGCCCCGTAAGGGAATGACGCAATACGGCGTCAGGGCGGCGACCGTGCGTCACGACCCGCACTTCCGGCAGCGCTCGTTCGGCGCCCCAGGAGCTGGCCGCCGCCCCGAAGCGCGACGCCTCGCCTTCCTCAGCCGGGGGTTGGCCCCTAACTCTCGAAGGCCGCCGGAGGGGCTCCGTGACGTCACGCGCACTGACCACCCTGGAAAAGTGGCGGCAGTGAAGGCGAATCCCGGTCACACCTAACCCACCCACATGGCCGGCTCAGAACTGGCAGTCTCGGTCTGAGGGAATCCGACTGGACCCCTTTTCCCTGCGGAACTCACCAAGGGTAGCAGTCGACGGCGGCGGCGCCACAGCAACAGGGCAGGCCAGGGCCGGGGGCGGGGCTACAAGCCCGGGGTCGCGTGGACGCGCCTTGTCCCGCCCACAGCGTCATAACGACCTCTACGCCCCGCCCCCTCCGCGTAGCTGGGACTTGTAGTCCTCGGGAGGCCGAGCCCCGGGAAGGGCCCCCTGCCCCGGATGGCGTTCTCCAGTCCGGCCCTGAGATCTTCATTCCAGGAAGAAACTCCTTCTAGAAAGAGCTGTTTATGTTCATTTATGCCTTCATTGTCATTTCTCTCAGCCCCGAATGAGAAAGTTCCATGCCTCGGAAGGGCTACTGAGAGGTCACTTCCATTTTTTCCCTGGCTCCATATAAAACATCACTTTATAAATGAGTCTCTCTGGCATTTAGGCATGCCTCCATCGGACCCTAAAGGAGACCGACAGTCTCCCTGGGCCTCCAATTTCTGTGCTCCCCGCTCCCCCTCTTTCATTACTTTTCTGCAAAGGAATTATAGTTAACTTGAATTTCTTCCGCTGCTGTTAAAGTTTATATTGTATTCTCTTCAATGGAAGGGGAATAACTGGTTATGCTGTTATACTCAGGGGAAATTACTTCAGCCTCCATTTAGGTATTTCTGTCTTATTCGAGCTTTCTATCCTCTTCTCTGAATGGTTTCCATAGACAGGCTATATTTGTCATTTTCCCTAAAGTCATCTTATTCAATGGCCTTGTTGGAAAGTAAAAAAAAAAAGTGGGGAGACAAATTGATATCAGCTTGTAATGCTGATTTTTTTCTCCATATACAATAGGTAATTCTATTTTTTACCTTTTTCTTAAGTCATCTAAAAGATGCCAGTTAAACCCTACATGTGTTGTCTACAGAAGCCTAAACTCAGAAATGCCCTTCTTCAAGGAGCAGGAACTGTAAAAATCTGGAAAGAAACTTTTCTGTGCTGTCTAACCAGAGACTGATGATTCTCAGGCGGCTTTAGGGTTCAGGCAGGAAAATGAGCGTTCCCAGTTCTGCCTCTGCACAAGACTGGTGGTACGCAACCGAAATGAATTGATGGTGCGGAAAGATACGTAAACCAATAAGTAGGACACCGATCAAAACCTCAAATCACTTTCTGAATTAACAAAACAAAACCTAAACTCTTTCATAGTAAACTCTAATAAAAGGAACAGATCTCCCTTCATTTTGTTTACTAGTTTTTTTAAAGGCACCGAGAACTGAAACTACTTTTATCTACAGAGTTTTCAATCTCTATTTAGCATGACTTTTAACTCTTTGAGAAACTTGTCTAGGAAGTTAAAAATTCAAGTAATTTAATTGCTCATTCTGGAAACTTTCTTTTAAAAAAAAAAGACCAACTCTTCACTAGAAAGCATCCAACAACAGGTTATAACTCTTAGACTCTTAGAACTTGTGGTTTCAAAGTCCTTGCTTTGTGGTGTCCACCAATCCAAAGCTATTATCCCATGCCAATCCAACCTCTTCCCAATACACATACCTTAAGCTAAACTTCAAAGTCATCTTACAGATATGACAACTGTGTTAGTCTGGGCTGACTAGAGAAACAAATTCAGAGACCCTCATGTGTGTAAGAGAGAGTTTTATATCGAAGAGCAATTGTATACTGAGAAAACATCCCAGCCCAGTCCAGATCAAGTCCATTAGTGCGATATTAGCCCATCTGTCCGATACCAGTCTGTAAGTTCCTCTTCAGACTCACGCAACACATGCGATGACGCTGAATGTAGGAAGATCACAGGCCAGTAGGTGGAAAATCTTGTGGATCCTGTGGCGGTGGAAGCGTCTCAGCGCTGGCAGGGGTCTCCACGTGGCCCCTCCAGCTCCAGGGCTCTAGTGACTCTCCACGTGGCAAGTCAACAGGAATTTCTTTCAGGGAGTGAGCGTCCTGCCTCCAGAAAACTATCTCCTTAGCACCTCCAAATGAGGTAGGTCATCAAGCTGCAACCTGATTGACAGGCTAAACTTCAACCCTTCACTCTTAAGTCTCAAGTGGACAATAGATTACAGGACAACTGTGTCCTTCCTCCACAGAGCCAGTACTAAGACTTAAGGCAATGCTTCTCCTTGTTGTGATAAGGATAAACTGAGCTTTGGCTTATTAAGCAATTATTTTCATTATATTTGGGGGAACACTTCAACAGAACAGAATGAAAACCAGCCACATGGATCTGGTTTAATTCCAGAAGAAGTGTCAAAGCTGCAGGGGCGCAAAGCAAAGTGTCCCCAAGGAAGGCCAAAGGTGGACCTGGGAGCCAGGGTGGGCACCCCACAGACTCGCCTGGAAAGCACTCACAGAGGTCAATGACAGACCTGGAACTGTTTGAGGGCTTGTCTCTCTTTTTTTGATGTTGGTTTATTTTTATTTTATTTATTTATTTTTGGATCTTGTTTTTGTGTTCTTTTGTTGTTATGTTTCACTTTGCTTTGTTTTGTGCATATTATTGTCTCTGCATGTCTATCTAGACAAGATGGGTGGGACCGAACAATCCAGAAGAGAGAACAACAGGACCGACGGTTGCGGGGGTGGCACGGGAGAGGGAGAGGGAGGGGAAAGGAAAGGGGGTACCAACAAAACCAGGGACAAGGGAAAAACAAGTGATCTAAAATTGATGGTGAGGAGAGCATAGGATGCTTGGGGGGGCTTGATCAAGGGCAATGTAGCTGAGAGGAATTACTGAAAACCGCGAATGAAGGCCAAACATGATAGTGGGACAAGAGGCTAGTAAAAGGAAATAGAGGAAAGAACTGGGTGACAAAGAACATTTATAGAGGTCTAAATATAGGCATGTATATATGCAAATACATTTATATATAATCATAGGGGAATAGATCTATGTACATATATTTATATGTTAAGTATCAAGGTAGCAGATGGACATTGGGCCTCTACTCAAGTACTCCCTCAACACAAGAACTAATAATTGTTCTAATAACCTGGCATTCTGTGATGCTCACCGTCCCTACACAATTGCTGAAGACAAAATGGGTGCATAAGCAAATGTGGTGAAGAAAGCTGATGGTGCTCAGCTATCAAAAGATATAGCATTTGGAGTCTTAAAAGGCTGGAAGATAAACAAGCGGCCATCTAGCTGAGAAGCAACAAAGCCCACATGGAAGAAGCACTTCAACTTGTGTGATCACGAGATGTTGATGGTATCACGCATCAAATACCGCCCCCCCGCCCCCAGCCTGCCCCGCAAATATCGATATGAATGAGGGAGATGGCAGAGTGGAGACCCAAAGCCCATCAGTAGTCAATTGGACATCCCCTGTCAGAAGGTCCACAAGGAAGAGATGAGCTAGTCAGGGTGCAGTAGAGCACCGATGAAACTCACAACTTTCCTCTAGTTCAGCAGTTCTCAACCC